TTAATTAAGCTTTTTTCGGAGCTAGAACTTTTACGATATGTTTTATATAAATTACTTGCGATTCGAATTACGCACGGAAACTTTACTTAATATTATATTAAGTTTTAATACTACGACGCTAACTTAAAGTATGCTTGCGATAAACGTAAGTCTTTTTTATATTTAGCTTTTTATTGATTTACGCAACGACGCTTTTTCTTTTAGCTTTATAAGATTCGACCGCGGACCTTTTCGAATACGATCTCGAAAGCTTACGACTTTCTTAAAAGTCTTTTTAATAATCCGGCCGATTTTTAAGCTTTCTTAATTATTACGAAGTTCTATTTTAAGCATTGCATTCGATAAAAATGCTATTTTAATTAATTAATATTGCTTCGATAAAGAGAACAAAGTACGCTCCGCTTTACTTAAGCTATAAAAGCTCGTTAAATTAACTGCGTTACGAGACTAAGACTTTAAGATAGCGTAATGCGCTTTCGAAAGAATACTTTTTAGCACGAGTGTATTATATTAAGTTTTCTTTTAAAGTTTAAACTTTTTATATTTATTTTTTCTTTTTCTTTTATACTCGGCTAATTTCGGTCAAGCCTTAATTCTTATCGCTACGCGACGTGAACAGCTTGCTTTTAGTTAGCTATAGCAGTTTGTACTTGCTTGACTTTCTTTTTTATAGTTTTCCTTTAATAAAAGGTTTCTTTTTTATATAATGTATCTTATCTGTAAAAGAAAGGCGCATGCGATAATAGCCTTCGCTATAACACTTTAAATTGCTTTTTAAAGCCTTTTTATATGTAATTCTTTAGCTTAACACGTCGCCGTATCCTATAAAAGGTCTTAAGGCGGCAGGCTTCGCTTGCTACCCGCCCGACGTAAATAAATATAACAACAATAACAACAACGACAATATCTTAAAGAATCGACTTATTAGCGGACCTAAGACTTATAAACACTTGCTCTCTTATTAGGCTGCTCCATAAGGCCCCATAGGGCCCCATGGAAATTCGAGTCCTCCCCACGGGGGAACCCACGGGGGGTACAAAAATCGGCCTTCCCCATAAGGTTTCCTTATAGAAGGTAGGGTTTCCCCATAGGGTTTCTTTATATATATATATTTATATCACGTAGCCTCGCTTAATAGCTTAAGCGCTAAGAAGTTTATTAAACACGTGTAAAGGAGCACGTGCAAGGCTAGACTGCATAACAGATTTACTAATCAATTTACTAATTATATTTACTAATTACATTTACTAATTATATTTACTAATCACATTTACTAATCATATTTACTAATTACAATTACTAATTATATTTACTAATCGATTTACTAATCATATTTATTAATTATATTTACTAATCGATTTACTAATCACATTTACTAATCATATTTACTAATCACATTTATTAATCATATTTACTAATCACATTTACTAATCATATTTACTAATCACATTTACTAATTATATTTATTAATCGATTTACTAATCACATTTACTAATT